AGGGGGATGTCTAGGTAGTCAACTATTTTAAGGTGAGGAAATCTCAGTCTTAAACCGTAGAATTTTAAAGGCCCTAATAATTTTCTTATGTAACTTCAATGTTATTGGGGATGATGATTAGTCCATCATCTCTATATAGTCCTACTAGTTCCGTTTTTAAGATTCTACTAAGCACATCTAAAATATAAAACATACTAGGTGGAATTATTAAGTGTTAGCAGTGATTTTCTAGCCTTTAAGATGATATTAGTTTCATCATCTATTATCTCCATATAATCTTTTGCAAAGTTAATACTATTAAGTAGGAGGTCCCTGGAGATAGAGGAATAGAAATCTATTATATCAAACTTAATGAACATCGCTTTATCCTTATTCCAAAAGTTGGCACCAGTTGTGATTAGTAGTTTATTGGTTATTTTTTTAATTATATTTTTTGAGATTAGACCTAGTTCAGTTTTAGTTGGGTTTATTAGTCTAGATTGTGTACTGCTAGTGAAGCAGAATAAAGATAAAATGTAGGCATCTTTAGGATAGACCTTTCCTACTTTATCTGCAATGTTTAACTTACTGGCTATTTCAGTATATATATATATATATATATGTGTGTGTGTGTGTATATATGTGTATATATATATGTGTATATATATATAGGTGTGTATATATATATATATGTGCATATATATATATATATATATATATATATATATATATATATGTATATATATATATGTGTATATATATATATATATATATATATATAGTGTATATATAAATATATATATAGTGTGTATATATAAATATATATATATATATATATATATGTGTATATATATATATATATATATATATACCATCTGGATAGTTGATTTAGGTGAATTACATGCTCCAGGCACCCAATCAGCATGAATTATCAATATTGCTAATAATCATTAACTAACCCTAAACAAAAGAACTTGAATGAATTTCCTCTTCCACCCTTTACCTTCAGGACCTATATACACAATCCCATTATATATACAGCCTACCAAAGGAGTAGTGGCATTTGATCTGAAAATCACATTGAAGCATGAAACTGATGGTCACCAGATTTATGTCTAGATTTTCTGTATTTATATATGGTCTCTCTGATACTGACCACTTTTCTCCTATAAATATAGAAAATTTTAAGCAATACATATATAAATAATAAAAAAAGAGGTTGAAAATTCAACTGGAGTCTTTAAGAATATTTATTTAGAGTAAATTTACCAGTTTCATAGTTCTGATTTTTTAAAAGATAAATTGAGTTGGGGAGATGTGGCTATGGTATGATCTGTTTTTATCTGAGATATATATATATATATATATATATATATATATATATATATATATATATATATATATATATATATATATTAAATTTTAAATTACTTGCATTCAATGTGGTTAGACATAACATACAGCTTAGTCAAATTAATTCAGTTTCTTAATATTTTTGTTTTGTTTTTATTGTTGTTGTTTTCAAAAATCTCCCATTGTGTCAGCAGTAGATTTAAAAAAGGTGAACTTTGACACAAAATTTACAGTTGAAGACTCAGAAATCAGATCACTTTCTATAAATATTTGACTTAGTAAATTACCTTCTTTAATTAAAACAGTATTCTTTGAGGAAAAATTATGGTGAGATTTATTATGTGGAACAATTAATGCATTGAGTATGTTATCTTATAAAAGATCCTATTGAAGGATGAAATGTTTTTTTTTCCATTTTGCCTACCATTCATGTGATATGTAGATTTTGTCATATTACTCCCATATATACACATGCATAATTGCACTCATGATCTCAAGTGGAACTCGTATATACAATCCATTTTAAAGATGCTAGAAAAGTGGTTGACTCCTTATACTGCTCCAGAAAGAACCTGGCTCCACTTGACATACTATGTCTTGACAAGAGTCAGATCATATCAAAAATGGAAGTATTGCTGCCATATCTGAGTTGGAGCTGCCCAATTGTCGCTTTCCACCCTTGACAGAGTTCAAAAGTGTTTATACAACCTTGTCGGTAATGAATTTTAATTTCAAACCTGCAGCCCTTTTTCCACAGAGGAAACATTGCAAGCCTATCACCACTCTGTGACTATTTCCATGGCAAAGCTACAATTCCACCAGGTCAGACTTTTACAGTTAAAACCTGTCATACCGTATACATGAGGTTGAATCATTTTCATTCCCTTCATATTCCATTGATAAAGAGTAGGTTCCACTCAGACAGCTTCTTCCTGAAAATGACTACTTTGTAGAACACTCCTGAGAGGATGCTTCCCTAATCACTACAATCTTAACCTCTTCAAGTCTTGGGTCAACTGTCATGTATCCATATATTCATATAACCTGTACTTACTGCTTACATTCATACAACAATGTCATATTCAGTAACTCTTTTACCATAAGTGGCTCTTTGTGTGCAGAGTTGTGCTCATTTTGCTTTAATGCAGCTGCAAACTTGTTAGAAAATATTTAACTTTGAACTTGTTTTATTGTATTCTCTGAATCTTTTTTTTTTTGTGTGAGCCATTAAATAAAAAAAGCAAGAACTATTTCCAGACTCCTTTCCTGTCAAGTTGCATTTGTTAAACATATTTCTTTGTTTTGATCTTTTCTTTGTTAATGTTTGATAACATTACTTTCATTTTCTTTCTTTATGTTCCACAAATATTTTTTTTTTTTTTCATATGCTAAGCCAATTTCATCTTTGCTTTTTCCAAGAAGACAAATTTCAATGATCAAATTTTCTTATTCAAACAGCATCTTGTGTTAAATTCACACCATCCTTAGAAATGGATGTTGCTCCTTTTAAAATAAGAAATTATATACTAGCTGTTTTAATCAAGCTCCAATGTCATATATAAGATTTATTAAACAAAAATATAAAATCTTTCTTTTTATGTTCTGTGTTCTTTCCATACATGGCATCATGGCTCTCCATGACTTCCTATCCTTTGTAGCTCTTGACGATATAGTCTTTTTACTAATATCTGTTCTGCCATCCATTTATACACACTCATTAAAATGGTTTCTCATGGCTTCTCTTCATCTATAGCCAGTCTGCTCTGCTAGGATATATTGAATCCTGTGAGTACCAAATTCTCCAAGCTCTCTTGACTCAATGTGTTCTAGAATTTTCAAGTATCCCTTTTGATTCCATTTTCCTTAAAATTTTCTATTTACACTATTTAAATTTTTTGGACGGTTGTCCTCATTTTTATTGTCATATTCACAACATTTCGGCCTCCTTCAGGTGATATTTGAAATTTCAAACCCTTCATAATTTTGGTATATCAGGTCTATACTGATCTTTCAACATCTGTCTATATTTCTGACATGAAGTATTGTAAATATTTACACTATTTACATTGTTTCGACTATGGCAATAAAGATGAGAACATCAGCTGTTGTATGCTCTGGCCTTCTTCAGGTTTAAAATTACAAATATCACCTGAAGAAATCCGGAGCGTGCAACAGCTGAAACATTGTGAATATGGCAATGAAGATGAGGACAAAAGTTTGTTCAATGTAAATAGTGTAAATAGTTAGAATACCTCATCTCAGAAATATAAACAGGTGTTAAAATTTCCTTGTTGCTCACGTGCTCAATGTATCGTATTCTCAGCATACTCATGTAGAACTGCATATCTGCTGATTCATATCTCCTCTTCATCTATGAGGAAATTGTTCAGCATTTACTGTCATAAAGATGATTGGTATTATTGTTCTTTGTTTCTAATGAAATTTGCCTCTTTCTTGATACTTTGTTTAACTTTTGTGAGGCTTGTTTAATTATTCCAATGCACCTTTAGATTTTAGTGTGCCATTTTCCTTTGTGTTATAACACTTCTCAGTTAAATTTCTGTACTTGATGGATTTTGGCATCTCCAATTCATAGCTCACATCTTGGGACATCTCTCTTGCTAAGAACTATACATTCAGTTTCATTACAATTGATAGTTAGTCTTTTCTTCTTGCTTTTCTTCACTAGCTTGTTTAGGAGTTTCTGTAGTTTTCTGTCTGTGTTTTTCATCAAACTTTACATTTATTTCATTGTTATATGTGGTCTATTTAATCATTTTGAATATGTTGTGAAGTAATCACTAATCAGTCGCTAGACTAACTGCTAGTGGTTATTCTCAGTGACCATTTATAAGACTGTTCACTTCTGCCTATGCAAATTATGCATACTAATTTGCTAGTATCAGAATATCTTAAGAATTGCTTATGTGACCTTGATGTAACTTGGCAACCAATCAGAGGTGACATTACTGCATATGTGCAGTAAATGCTTTCCCATTGGGTTAATTTGTCATTGGTTAAATTCTGTTTACTGTGCTTGTGCATTATTCCCAACCAATATGCAGCAAAATTGGCTTCAAACCTGGATATTTATTGGCAAAACCTTTCAATGATTAAAAATGACTTTTTGGAATGGTTCACTGCTTTATGTTTGGCTGAGAATATATTCTTCATTTTGGAAAGCCTTCACTCAGGGGAACACTGAAAGATTTCAAATGTGTATTGGTTTCAATGAAAGTAAAATTGGCAATAGAAAATGTGAGAATAAAATCTAGGGATAGGCTGTTTGCTAAGGTGGTAATGCCTAGAGAGGCCTGTCTATCAGAAAATCATTTGACCCCCACCATTTGAATTTGATGGGAAATTCATGTTTAAATTCTTATTTGTCGACTCTCCTGACTTAATTCTAAATATTCTGACAACCGAGCTGTCTGAGAATTCTTTGAAATCTCTGGAAAATATCTGGTCATTCTGAATATCTCAATTAGCAATTCTTAGGTAAAATAATAGAAAAGTCTGAACTTTCTAACCATGGTTGGTAACTATTCAAGAAGAAGGAAAACTCTGAATACATGTGATGAGCAACTCCTGCAAGTCTGGATTATTAATTTTATTGTCTTACTTTATATAAAGTACTTTATTTCACAATTCATTTTTTTTATTCTTAGCTCCCTGGAATGCTTACTGTGCTATTAAAATCATCAATACTAGTCGTGCAAGGATGTCTCCAGCCACATCACCCAAATCTTCCCCAAAAAGCAGAAGAGCTAGAACTGAACAGATGTCAGGATTGAACACCCAAATGGCTAAATCCATATCAGGGCTGCAGTGGGATGAAAAGTTTGAACTGTGAGTTATCTCCCTTATTTACTTTTCACACTTTAAAAATTTAAAAAGTAAATCATGTTTTGAGTCATCAGAATTTTATATTGAAAACTTATCAATCTGACCCACTTCCTAAAATTTGATGGAATATCAGAAATTGTTTTTATAGTGCTTGTTTGGTTATGTTGCAAACTTTTCAGCATCTCTCCAGAGAATGACAGCTGTTCAGGCATAAATTTTGCTTTCTCAACATGAACTAATTACCTGAATTCTTAAGATGAAACATTGTCATTATCAATTTTTTTATTAGATTTTCTTTCATCGTAGTTTTTTATTTTATTTTTTACCATAACTTTTAAGACAATTTGAAATTATCCAACCATTAAACGTTAGCAAAAATTGTACCTAAAACTGATGCCAGGATTTGAACTCAGTTTCACAAGCCTGTCAGACTGACAACCCCATGCTGATTAAGCTATATTTATTAACCAGCAGATTTCATTAAAATTTAGTCATTTTTGCATTCTTTATGATTTGATTACTTCTTACTTTGTTTGGTCAAACTTAACAGTTATTGTTCTAGTAGTATTAGTCATTACAATAGTCCTAAACAACAAAAATAAGATGTATGGCAAAGTAAATGTGCAGATTGGTGGTTGATTTGTTGTTTCTTTCTCATTTCTTTGGAGTGGCTCTATGACAATTACTGGGATCAACAATTTATTGCATAAATATTTCATTGAAGATCTGGATGTTTATGTGAGAATCATTTATGATATTAATTGAAATTTCAAACAATATTGTAGCTATAACAACATTTTATCACCTTAGTAAAACTAATTAGGAAGGAAAGAAAGAGGTACTTGGAAGTGTATAAAGATTTTATGCATATGCATAGGATTGCCCTTTGAACTGTGAGTTATCTCCCTTATTTACTTTTCACACTTTAAAAATTTAAAAAGTATTTTGTACTGTTATCAGTTGTCAAAAGTTTTAGGTACAATTCTTGCTAATGTTTAATGGTTGGATAATTTCAAATTGTTTAAATTTTAAAAAAAAATAAAACCAAAAAACTACGATGAAAGAAAATCTAATAAAAAAATTGATAATGACAATGTTTCATCTTAAGAATATCTAGTTAGTGCATTTCACTTCTGCTTTCAATTCTTTAGTGAAATGAGTGAAATTATGTTTCAAGTAAATATTAAATGCAGAAATATGAGATGATATACTATCAGTTGTCAAAATATTATCTATTTTTATTTTTTACATGTGACTGTAGTGTGTGTGTGTGTGTGTGTGTGTGTGTGTGTGTGTGTGTGTGTGTGTGTGTGTAAAATCCTATTAAAGTTGTTGAGAGATTTACATTGGTGAAGAATTTCTTGTTTGTTTGTCAGAATTACTATGTTAGGCCATTTGTATGCTGTAGTGTTTTCATGCAACATATGACTGGTTTGGGACTAAGAAGTGCTATAGAACAGAAACTAGACACATTTTTGTCCACACACAAAAAATAGTTGGAAAGAATAAAAACAAAAAGAGAGGTTTTATTATACATAGTAAACATAAATTGGCCAATTCACACAACCCTCAGCCAATCAAAATGGTGCCCAGTTTCAATCAACTGTCTCTCTGCTACTCCATATTTGCAATCAGCAGGAATCCTCAGCTGAACCCAAGTGCAGGTGATTGACCCTCCAACTTGACTCCCCCCTCCTGTCAAAAGTGCAGTAAATAATTTAATAATTTATTCCAGACAGTATAAGGTTTTTTAGCAGAATGTATCATTTGGAAAAAGGGCAAATTAAATTTTGCCTGACTTAAAGTCCACAAAAATCAAAGAAAGTGGCAGCCTTAACTCGTCAATTGGAAGATTGGGGTGAGAAGTGTGACTGGGTTAGTGTTGAGGAAATGTGATATCAGTCAGCAGCACTCATCATAAATGTACATTAAATTATACTAAAAATTTACAGACAGAGAGATACATAAAGACATTAATGCATAGACATATATACAAACACACACTTGAGATAGATACGCATGTTAATTAAAAAAGCATATCTGGTTAGTGCATTTCACTTCTGCTTTCAATTCTTTAGCAAAATGAGTGAAATTATGTTTCAAGTAAATATTAAATGCAGAAATATGAGATGATATACTGTTATCAGTTGTCAAAATATTATCTATCTAATAAAATTAAGAGATCATAACTAATAATTTTAAGAAGATTTTTTTGAGAATTTTTATTTTCCTCAGTAATGGTTAGTAAGCATTTTCTTGAAAACTTTTTGTTAATGGATATTAGCTTTTCTGCTTCTCTGAGAGTTTAACTCACCATTACATTGTAACTTTTATTTTTTATTCAAAGCTTCACTGAACTTAAAGTGTAAAAATCATTTTTGACATAGCTCTTTCAATTCAGTGCTTTTTGCTTTCCATTATAAATACTGCTTGTCATAAAATATCAATGTTTATGCAATTTCATTCATGCATTGAGCAACGTACCTAACCATTCTCTAAATCTTCAATTAATGACTCAAATCATCACAATAGAATTATTTTAAAAGTTTATGCATTCTTAAGAATATGTCATCTTGTTCTTAAAAAGACACCTACATTATTGATAGAAATTAATTTACCAACAATGGAGAATGATATGGTATTAGATCTCAAAGGAAATTCATTTGGGAAGAGGAATATTGCAGAAAAGCAAGAAATTATTAAATTAGGCCAACCAATTCCTTTGCTGAAAACTAAAATCGGCACACATTTTTTTCAAAATAGATGGTATCAACAGATTGATTAGTTGTGTGCAAATGTGTCAGAAGAAAAAATCTACTGTTGGCCTTACTTGCTCTTTTAGCCCAAATCTGGTCAATCGTGGACACATGGAAGTTATAACAATTATAAAAATATTTTGACTGACAGCAAAATTCATTATATGAACCATTAAAATAATTACAAATGTATAAAAACATTTGGTTTATGTGACATAGTAACTGCTATTAGTGAGTTCGCAAAGCTTGAAATGGAATAATAAAACAAATTAGTTGAAGAAAACAGAATATATTAAAAACTGTAAATGTTGTATTATATCTTTTCAAACAATGTAGCCATGATGAGGGAAAAAATAGACTGAACAAAGGAAATTATTGTGAGTTATTGCATTGCTTTGCTGAAATAGATAACGTTTTTGCATCAAGACTTTATACCAAAAAAGGATCAAAACAATTTTCAGGAGTTTTAAGTATGATACAGAATGACATCATATCTGCAGTTGATAAGGTAATATCTGATGAAATTCAAACTGAACTTGAAAATACTCCATTTATTTCAGTATATGAAACTACTGATTGTGTAATGTATACACAGCTTTAATCAGATTTGTTACTGGATGCAAATTAAGTGAGAGATTTTTAGGATTTTATGATGTAAGTAATGATAAAAGCACTTCAAGGTTAAATGATGTAATGGAAACTGCTTTAAACTGCTTTAGTAATGTTAAAGGTAAATTGGTTTGCCAATCGTAAGATGGAGCAACCATAATAGCAGGTGAACGAAACAGCGTACAAATAAAATTGAGAGAAAAAGGGTTTAAATATGGCGACTTCATTCATTGTGCATGAGCACATAAGCTTAATTTGATTTTAAGTTGAAGTGCTGAGAAGGTTAATGTAGTCAAAATATTTTTTCTCATTTAAGCAGCTTTAATAAATTTTCATTTTATAGTACAAAGAGAAGGGATTTAGGTATTTTAAAGTCAATATTCCATTACTCTGTTACCCAAGGTAGTGTTATAGATCCAGAACTGTGTCAGCAGTAAATGATTCATGGGAAAACTTGAAAAGTGCATTTCCAAATATTTTAGACCAAAATGAAAATTGGGATGAAGATACACTCAGTGAAGCTGATAATCTATTCACCAAATTGAACAAATTTAATTTCATATTTTTTATAAACTGCTTTTATACAATAATATCATGTGCTGAGAATTTTTTTTTAATGTAAATAGCTTGATTTAAAATTTGTTCAGGATAAATGATTTTATTCAGTATATTGAAAATCAGTGCACTGATGATCACTATAAAAAATATTATCAAAACAACAGTGCTTGTCATTGAACATTTAAATGATTCTGATTCCCCCACCTTTCAAAAATAACCAGAGGAAAGCAAATGTATGATAAAGTGATTTATCTGGAAATATTTCAAGGTATTTTAATGTCATTAAGACAGCTCATATTGAAGAATTTCAATATTTTAAACTATTCGATGTGAAGAAGTTTGAAATGTTTGCAGATAATTTTCCAGTGAAGTAATATAACAACTTTGCAATGCAAATACTCAAATTTATTTGATTACAAATCTTTAGCAAAGGAACTGAAATATTTGTACCATGACAATGACTTCAAAAAATGTGAGTCAAGTCATGTCATTTTGGAATTACTTCATAAATCAGGTTTCTTATCTGTAATGCCAGAGACTGTAAAATTGATTCAACTTTTTCTAAGAATCCCTGCCATGTCTATTGCAAGCAAAAGAAGTCTCTCAACCTTAGACAGAATTAAGGCATTTTTAAGATGCAAAATGCCTGAAAAATGCTTGTCTTTGCTGGCTGGTATTTCAATTGAGAAGCAAATTCTTATTGATTTAGAATGGCAAAAAATTACATGACAAGATATATGAGGAGTTCACCACAAAAACCAAGGCACTTGGGATTTCTGTTTAGATAAAGTAAGTTTTTTTTTAAAATTAAATTTATGTATGTCTACACTTTAATATATGAGTGAAGTGTTAATTAAAAATGTACTGCTGATTTTACCAGAACTGGGGAGTTGGGTACAAAACATCTGACTCCAACTCCAAATTTCTTTATACCAGTAACTGATTCTGGATTTATTTTAAAATGTTATCATCCATGACATTGTCATTGATTATTAAAACTACAATTATTGTTTTGTGTCTTGTTTACTAATCATGTTTTTAAAAAACAAAAAGGACCATATATTTTTTGTTGAAGTTTGAATTGAAATGTATAGATTTTAAATTCAGAAAGAAGTATGTGATGAATGAAGGGAAAATGTCTCAGATTTTGATAGAATTGAATCTATTTTAGAATTTCAGTGGTGTATGTGAATGGTCTATTAGATTTATTTATGCACCCACATACACACACACATTGGCCCACACACAATGCTCCAGACACATGGCTGCCAGGCCTCTTATAGGTTTTGGAGTCCATGACTGGAGGTGGTCATATAGGTACCTAACTTACTAATAACAATTTCTGAGAACATTTTTAGCAAGAAACTTGTTACTAACATCCAGTAACTATACGTATTATTGACTAATTTCCCTAAATGCAAAAAGTACAAAAATATACTGACTCAGTGCACAAAAAATCACTTTATTGACCAAAAATTAGGAATATTTTAGTATCGCCTTGTTATGAATTCATTCATGTCTCATTGAAAGAATAAAATTATATTTAAATATATATTTTTTAACTTTTATATATATTTTAACAGTGAAATAGAAAGCCTGTTAACTGATGAATTACATATAAGTGTTTATCTCCAAGACAGCAATTCCAAAACTGAATCTTCCAATAAATTTGCTCAAGAAAGAATTCGAGCTCTTAAAAGGTAAGTATTTTTTTTACAACTAGTATCTCTGTTTTATAATAGTTGTTACATTTAGTATAGGAAATATACATGCAAATGTAAAATTCATTACGAGGCAGGGTTAGATATTTTTTTTTTTCTTTTATAGTCTATAGATAATATTTATTAAAAATATCAGTTTTTGAAAACCTATAGGAATTAATATGAAATTGAAGGGGAAAAATAAATTTGTTCAATTATTTTTTTTTTCATTGGTCTTATTTTGTGAATAAATGTAATGTTTGATTTTTCTTATTAAGATTTAATTTCTTATAAAGTGTAAGGTTTATTCATGTTGTTATCTTTAAAGTGTCTGGGTTTTTAAAAAAAAACTTGTAACTTTCTAATTCATTTAGATGATAAATATAATGAATAATATATAATGAATTAATATATTTGTCAAAAAGTGTGAAATTTTAGATTTCTGACTAAATTTCTAGGATGAGGAATTATCATTATTTACAGTTAGACTAATGTCTCCATCTTTTTTGTTGTTGTTATTACATCATTTCAGCTGTTGTGGCCTCCAGCCTTCTTCAGGTGTTCAGGTAACCATAAGGAAATTTTGAACTTCCAACAGTCCAACCCTTTACAGTTAAGACCTTCTATGCCATGCAACCAGGGACAAACAATCCTCATTCCCTTCATATTCCATTGTTGAGAAGGAAGTTCTATTTGGACAACTTCTTCCCAAGAGCTGCTACTTTGTGGAACAGCTCCAATCTTAACCTCTTCAAGTCCAGCTTCAACTGTTATCAATTCTACATAGCCTCATAATCTTCATTTGTCACTCCCTCCTTTTGCATTCATAAAACAATCTCATTCAGTAACTCTCTACCTTGAGAGGCTCTTGTATTATGTGAACAATATCATTAAAAAGATGATCTTGCTCTGCTGTCCATCTATAAGGGTATATCATCTTGTTCTTTTTAGTACTAATCAGTTATTTCTAGCTCTGTTTCTACATGACAACTGCTTAGAGGACTAAAGCATTGATTCATGAATTTGGGGGCATAGTAATTGAGTTCAATCCTTGGGTCAGGTAGTTCATATTCAGTGGAAACAGGACTCACAATAACAGAGCAGTATAATAACAATGAAATATCCTTAGAAATGTACAGTTGAATGAGAACACTATCTACATAGACTAAATAAAGGATTCAGTTTGATAACTCCCCAGGTAACTTGAAAGTTACCTGGATTGACAAAACTGAGGAAAGCCAGAGGGCACAGCAACTGGAACATTTTAATAATGACAAAAAAGATGAGGACCTTAGTTCGATGTCTATAAATGTATAAAATCCAAAAAAATCCATTTGAATTACGTGGTTTATTTCAACAGGAACGTAAGGGTTTAGGACAGCTACCTTGGTGTTCATAAGCTGGCTTTCGGATCTAGGTCGATCTCTCATAGTAGTTCACACATGTTGATGGTGGCTGACAGCTGCTAAACGTGACCGGTCTCCTTTGTGGCCACCTGTTGACTGCCGCTGAACTTCCCTGTGACCCCTTTTATAGCGTTTTTTTATGGCTTAACAGGCTCGAGAAACGAAGCGAGTATATATAATTTTTTTTTATAGATTTTAAGGTTTAAAAACTGTAGATTAGGGTTGATGTACTTGTGTCGTTAATGAGTAATGTTTACAAAATCTGATATTTTGTGCAACATTGCCATTATCAATTGCTGTAGGTGAAACTTTCTTGAGGGGGGGTATTCAAGTGTAAATATCTGCAAAGTGTTTTAACAGAAAATGTGACATTGAAATCCCAAGGTACATTTGAATAGTGAAAGATGCCTCCTAAAAAATAAACAAAGTATAAAGAAACAGGAAAAATTCACTAAAAACAAAGGAAGGAGTGCTGAACTGCTTTGTAATATCAATCTTCCTATATGGCTGTGAATGCTGGACAATTTTCTCACAGCAAATGTGATATGGATGCTTGGATAATAGCTTGGATGGAGTGAGTAAGCAAAGAGGAAATTCTAAGGAAAATGGAAACAAAAAGAAGAATTATACTTAAAACCGTAAAGAGTTGATATTTCTAAGATATATAGTGAAGAAAGAGGACTTGGGGAATTTGGCACTCACAGGACATACTGAAGGCAAGGGGAATGGATGCAAACAGCAAGAAATCTACCTAATAAGCTTGTGGCAGAAAGGGAGGGAGAAAAAGATAACTTGCTAAGAGCTACAAAGTATAGAAAGTTGTGGAGAACCATGATTGCCAATGTCATGAAAAGACATGACACATATAAAATTTGCTGAAGAGAGATTTTCAAAAATTAAACCATCTTCTATGGTATCTGAAATTGTCTACCAATCAATTTGTGAAACCATTAAATTTCAAACACTTTGTTTTTTTTTTTTGTTTTTTTTTGTTTTTTTTTTTAATTCTGAGTTAGATTATATGTCTTGATCTCTTTTTTGTTTTCTATCATTTAATAAAACATTTTTTCTACCTTTAAGTGTAATTTCTTCTTTGTTCACCTTCCCAATGTTACTTTTTATTTTTTCACTCTTTCTTGTCTCAACATTCTTTTGGTTTCACTCTGGAGTTTTTATTATCATTCTTTCATTTTCTGTTCCTTGTTTACCAAGTGAATTAAATTCCTCCACTACAAGAAGATGCTGAAAAATTTTCAGACTGATCTATTTCCCCAAATCAGTGTTCTGATATTTATCAACAGGCCTTTGTATATAATGTTTTCTTTATGAATTTCTTCCTTCACCTGTCATTTGTTCCAACTTCATGATTTCATTAACTTTTTTTAATTACATTATTGACTATGACTATTGTCCTCATTTTTGTTGTTATTATCACAATATTTTGGTCAGAGCAGTAAGAAAAGCGAAGCCTTAGTAAATGCAGTCAAGTGTGAAAAATAACAGCAATATCAGCAGCAGTAGAGTAAGTTTAAGCATCCAGGTTCTAGACTCAGGATCGGTCTGTGAATTTGGTAACATAGTAATTGTGAGTTCAATATCTGGACTATGTAGTGCTGATGAATGCCAAGTGGGGGGGGGGACAACAGTCAAAATGTTGTGATAATAACAACAAAGGTGAGGACAATAGTCCAATGTAAATAATGATAACTCCGCATCTCAGAAATTCAGACAATCTTTATTTCAAATTTTGCCTTTATTCTCATTTTTCTCCTGCCATGTTTCTTACTCTCTCTTCATTTATTTCATTTTTCTTTTCAGGATTTTTCTTTTTTATAATTTTATTTAAACTATTTTTTATGGGTGGAAGCTGCCCATTCCTCACTTTCCAGTCTTGATAGCGTTCACAAGCATCTCTGAGTCCTTGTGGGTGACAAACTATTTTCCACCCTCTCTCTCTCTCTCTCTCATGTGGTAAGTGACTCATTGCTCTGTCACTACTTCCATGGAAAGTACTCAGATGACCTGTATTCATTGGTTCTGCTAGGCCTAGCCTTCACTGCTAGGACCCACCATGACACTTATGTTGTAAGAAAACACCCAAATTCCCTTTGTATTCTATCAGTTCTACTTGAACAACTTCTTCCCATGAACCACTGCACTGTGGAACTGACTCCCAAGAGGATGTTTCCCTGATCAATACAATCTTAACCTGTTAATTTCCCCTCCTATAAGTATAAACTACCACTTATCATAACCCTCTACCTTGTACAGGGTGAACCTTACTGTAAAAACAAAAAATAAATAAAAAAAATGCTTTTTCTTTCTTCCTTTTTGCATCTTTGTTTCAGTTTTTCTTTTCTCTCATCTTTGCCTCTATTTGATTTTTGCCCTAAGATTTTTCACTTTCCTCTCTTTCTAACTTTATATTTCTTCCTGGACCTTTTTTCCTTTTTCTCTACTCTGTCATTTCCTCCTGACATTTGCGGTTAAATTTTCTCCTTGCATTTTCTCCTATTTTTATTTATTTCTTGTCTGTTTCTGCTGCCTCTTGCCCTTTTATCCTGCTTTTTGCATGTCTTGCCCCTTTGTCTGTTTTTATCACCTCTTGCCCTATTATTTTCTTCCGTAACCTCTTGCCCCTATGTTCACTTCCATTCTCACAAGACCCTTATGGCCTATTGCTTTTCATCTTTCTTTTCCCTCTTACCTATATCCTCCTTTTTATCTTTTAATTTCAGTCCCTATCTTCCTTTATTATCTTCCCACCTTTTTTCTTCCTTTGTTTCTAGCCTTTTTTTTTTTTTTATCAAATTTACTTTCCAGAATCTCTTCTTTCTCCAGAGTAGGCTGTTTTTTTTATTTTTTTATTTCATGTCTCAATATATTTTGAAATAAAATCCACTTTTCTAACAACCAAGTGAATTAAATTCCTCCACTTTCCCACCTAAAACCAAACTTTTCTTCTTTATTTCATTTAAACTGATCTATTCTTTTACAGTTTTGCATTCTAGAAAACACTGTGGAAATGAAATCAAAGATAATGGGACAAATGCAATGAGATGTTTTTAATCACACTTAAATTCTTGCTGGTTGGGTTTTTATTTTTTTTGTTTTTAATTTGGTAAATCTTATACAAGTTTTTTGCTTTTTTAAATTCTCTTTTTAAAACCTTTCAATTTCAACTGATTTCTTTCTCACTAATCATGAAACCCATTTTACTGAATAAGTCAAGTGTTATTCAAACAGAACAATGTTAAATTTCTTAGATCTCATTAGACCCAGTATAAATTATTTTATTTGTAAAATAATTTATACTGGGTCTGATTTATACCTGGTTGAGATTATAAAAGTTAATACATTATTAATTTAAATTTGCTTTATAAAAATCCTGGTGGGTACTATGTTTGATACAGGTATCCCTCAATCAATGCATTTTTGATTAGTGCACAAAAATTTTTAGATACCAAAATTTGATTAGTGCATACATAATACTTGATTAGTGTGGATTAGATACTTGATTAGATTCTTCAGTTTAACCATAGTAATTGAAAATTGATTTTTCTTATAGTTACCAATGTACACACTAATTCAGGGTTTCCTTTACTTTTATATTGTGAAAACAAATTTATTTTTTGAAATATTTATTTGTGGGCAGATCAAAATAAAAATGAAAAAACAATCAGTTTTGAGCATATACTGTGAGCAAAAACATTTATAAACAGTAACAAGTGGTAAGAATGACAGTTATTCTCTCATAACAACTTCAAATATCAGGGTCTGAATTTCAGAATTATGGGTACGAAAGAAAATTCAAGTGACTTTGATAAAGATCAAGGATGTGTGGGTAGTGTAACAGTTATTGGCATACTGAATTCAAATTCTAAACGAGTCTGTTTTATTCATTATGCAGTAATGCTCTTGGAAAAGGCATGAAGCCATCTTCTTCCAGCTATTTGTTAAATAAAGGACAGAGTGGGCACATTAAATTTAGTCGAGCAACCAATCTAAGAGGACAACTCTGAATTTGAAACTAGCCTGAAGAGGGATGGGTTCTATTAGGCTATCTTAACTGAGGCACACCAACTACTACTACAGCTGCAGTATATTTAAGGCTATATTTTTGGCTGGGCCTACGGGCCCAGATGACCCACATTAAACTCGGCCTTGTGCTACATGCTACCCCACGTGGGGGGGACAGCTAAATAAATATAGCTGCAGTATATGGGGTACTCTTATGCCCCTAATGAATTATGAGACTCATGATAAGAGTTAAATCATTTTCTTTTATACTGTTATTGTAGTAATATATTTAATATCAAACTATTTCTATTTTATTTACATTTAAAAGATTAAATAGACTGTAAGACACTTATTGAGATTAGGTCAATTAGTGCCCTCATCATTATACAATGATAATAAGATAATATTAATCATCTTTTTTCCAGATAATCAACAAATCTTAATTAAACTATATATTAATTAAGAAAAACTTTTATTAAACTAATTACAACCACTATGAAAATTTTTTATCAAGATGAGATCATTTTTATTAGTTGATTTGTGATGGACAATTAGTTTTATGTCATTGCCAGTATGGTGTAACATGATATCTAACATTGTTCTGGTATATAAAGATTTATAAGTCATGTTTCCCTTTCTAAAGTATTATTTAGCTATTTTTTCCCTTTGATTGTATTTCTGTTAGCAATAGATAAAATTTGGTAAAATGTTTTATGAAATTTTTGGATTAATGCATAGAATTTGTTTAAAAACCTGATTCTGCTGAAAGAGCAAGTGTTTAGAGAAAATAAACTTTTTACAATATGATATTCAAAAACTTTGTCAAGGAAAATACAGAAAATAGGAATATGACATTTTCTATTTTCTTTTCACAGAAAGCATATAAAACATTTTGTGCACTCTTCAGTTGTAGCCTTGTACCAGATGAATTTAATACCAGAGTTGGCAAGTTTGTTTGGTAGACTACTGCTTATGTAGAGTTTGATTTCTATTGAGTGCTCTTCAGTTATGTCGTTGTGCCAGATTAAACTAAATAGTAAATATCTGTGTGCCCACTGCAGGGTGAGATTTTGGTAAACCATTGTTAATGCCATGTGTTTGATTTTCATTAAGTGCTCAACATTTGTGACCTTGTGTAATAAGTATTTAAATGTTGACATGAAGCTAACACCTGCTATACCCTCTATACATTCTATTGATAAGTTAGAAGTTCCATTTGGACAGCTTCTTCAAAACATTGCTGCTTTATGGGGAACAGAATTCAGTGAATATGTTTCCTCAGCAACTACAAACTTCATGTCTCAGGTCAACTATTGGCTATCATACATATCTTCATTAACTGCATTTTTTATACCCCTTCTATTGCATCTATAAACATTTTATACCTGCTTCTATTACATCTGTAAAAATAGAATTGAGTGGCTCTTGGGCCTTTGTATTTGGTGAAGAATAGTGTTAAAAATATGGTTTAGATTGCTATATACCAATGTTGTATATCCAGATTGTGCATTGGCTGGTAATTTATCTCTGTTAGGGTAAGTAGACAAAAATACATGACTTCTGTAATTGTGTATGGTCACTTTATCTGGACATAGAAAAAAGAAACCATATTTTCTTATTTATTGGACAAGATTTTATTTCAAATTGTCTGATTGGGTCTTTAAAAATGTGGTTTGCTCTTCACTGAGACACTGGGTAATCAAAAGGTAGAAGAAAAAGGATCTTGTATAAAGGCTCTTTTATAGTAATGTTCACTTAATATAAGGCCCAAGAGCCACTTAAGATAGAGGGTACCTGTGTGGTGTTGTATGAGTGTCAGAATGAGCAAGAAGTGAAGTTCATGGTGCTATGCATGAAAGACAGCAGTTAACCTGACATTTGATGAGGTCAAGATTATAGTGATTGGAAAAACATCCTGTCAGGAGTCTGTTCCACAAAGTTTTGGTGCTACTTTTTAAAATAAATTGGATTATCTTGGGTTGCTACTGAAAAGAGGGGCTATTCAAAATTTAGTTGTTCTGGGCTTTCAAATGTAGCCTAATTTATTAATTGTAGGCCAATCTAGCAATCCTGTATAAGCATTTCATACTCAAAACCACATCAACACATAATGTGTACTCAGTCATGTGATTCCATAATCTATTCCTTCTTTAATTACATTATTTTACTGAACCTGAGTGTTGTATCTTTTAATTATGCCAGTCATGAGTGTCTTTGAATAAGATACATTGCTTTAATATATGAAAGATATCACCATTATTAACCCATGATTCCATAGAAATGATCTGTAAAATGAAGACTGAATATCAATGTAATTTTAGAAAATATCTTAGTTTGTTTATTTACTTATCTTTTTAGTTTGCTGCCATTTTCCCGTCTTTCTGACCAAGGAAAAGGAATCATGAGCCTGGGTTCTGCAGTTTTACCTGTCAAGGTAAGATCTCTTTGTTATTAACCGTTTGTTTTGTTTTGTTTTTTTTCCTAATAATTTCCCTCCAAGCAAAGCAATGATGCCACTGAGGTACAAGGAGTTACTGAGAGTAAATAAAACGACATTAGTGAGGAGAAAGGACAATAAAAGAACAGTTTTTGAAGAAAACAGAAAACTGATATTACATTTAAATTTTCTTGCCCTAGTTAACAACTGATTGGAGATAATTATTAAGATCACATATCCAAGTGCCTTACAATACTTATATAATCTATGTGGAGTATCTCTTCCTTGTCTCATGCTGTGTGTCTGATTATTTTCAATCAGTGTCTTGATTTGGATATTATCAATGGCTGCAGGCATGCCAAAATGTCACTTCTGCACCTAGCAAACCATTTATGAACAGTACTCTCAGTTATTGCACCATTTTCATCAACAGCACATATCTTTTTTGCTGTTTTTTTCCTTTCCAGTAATAAAAGGGCATGAAATGATGAAAATGCATCTCATTTTCTTCCATTTTCACTTCCACTGTAAGAACATTTAAAATTCACAATCTACACAGTAACCATATATAGAAGAATTCATTTAAATGTTACCTTTCAAAATATGTATGTCATAAATTTTTATCATGAGTGAAATGAAATCCTTTATTCATATGCAACCTATTGAAAAATACTATAAACTTTTGTACCAATCCAATACATTTAGCAAAAGCTGAAGAATATCAATTAACCAAAAAAAAATGTGGAATGTTAACAACTTTGAAATTTGTGTCAGTTAGCTAAGTAAATTTATAAAATGTAATTACTTGTTTTTTAATGTTTTAAAAATGTTAATTTCTAATTTTTCAAAATATTTCTATTGAAAGGACATTTTGAATGTTGGTGAGGATCGTTGGGTTGACTTGAGTGTCAGTGCTGGGAGATTATCCAAGGCTACTCGAGTTGTGGGAAAAATACGACTGCAGCTTAGTATTTCGTTGAAGAAGGTATGTATGTTTAAATTGTACATGTATATAATCAAGGGATGCAGAGAGAATGAACTAAGCTTAGTCTGACACATGGCCTAAATATCCAGAGAGGACTAAACGAATTATACAAAAAATAGTCTCTGAAACTAGTCTATTAGGATGCAGGTGATCATAGCTCTCCACAGATTCCTTTCTTTTATATTCTGTGAATTATGTGTTATTGAGGGGGAGGGGAGGTTACATCAAGTTTATTTTTAATTCTTTTTTTAAGTATTAAGTTTATAAATGAATTTGTATAATCCCTGATATCCTAGGTAGGATTTATATAATCCTTGGTATGATGGGAAGGATTTAACAAGTTTGTTTAAATAATTTGCAGAACAGGGATTAGGAAAGATAGCAAAAAGACAAACCATACTAATAACTACAAAGAAAAGGAAGTTGTGGAGAGCCATGATCGGCCACATCATGAAGGGTCATGCAATATAGAAGAAGAATACCATGGGCAGGATTTATATAACCTCTAATATTATGGGTAAATAAAAATGCCACATACTCAGGATACAGGTGATCATGGCTCTCCACAGATTCCTTTCTTTTATATTCTGTGAATTATGTGTTCTTGAGGGGGAGGGGAGGAGACAGTGGTGTGGTTTCCTATAGCCTCCTTAACAACTTTTGAATTGGGAATTTTCTTTTTCTTAGACTAGTGAGTCCAGCTATTTAACACATGGGTGAGAGAAAAGATGGATTCATGCCTTTCCCAAGAGTATTCTACACTATACATACATCCAATATCATGGGTAGTTTGTAAAGCAATGTCCTCAAAGTTTCTTTCATACTAATGATAGCTTAAACAGGAAATGTTAAAAATATATATAGCAAGTAATGTGATGCTAAAATGTTCATTGTACATTTAACATGCGATTAAATCATTTTAGTGCTCTCTTATATATAATAACTTATTTGAAAATATCTTAAAACTCTCTAATTTTATTCTTAAAGGTATTTCAGCAACCTTTGTGCCTACAACAAATGGTGTCTCAAAATGATGATTTTTTCCCTTGACATTGCTATTATTTTAACTACCTTCACCCCTTGGCAGTGTTTAATATTTAAAAACCTATGATTAGAATTAAAAAAAAAAACTTAAACATATGAAAGCGAAATTTATTTGTTCTTGAGAATATACAACAAAAATAAACAAAAAAATCATCCTTTTGACACACTGTTTTTTGCAGGCATGAAGGATAAAGATTGCTGGTAGTCCTTTTGCCAAAGATTGCATAATGGTAAATACTACCTGATAAATGCCCATGTACTCTATTTAGCAAACAATATTTGTATCCAGGTTTATGTTATGGTCCGGTTCCTTGTACCACGGTGATAGTCCAAGGTAGAACCAATAAAGAAGAACTCGAACACAGGTATGGAATAACACAGATATATTACAAACAGGAATATATACAGAGAAGTAGAAGTGTTAGTATGAACAATCAGGTTTAGTAGAGACAACAATGTAGTCTTGACCAGTATCACTATTCCAATGTCTTGCAGTAATTGTATGAACGCGACTCTGTTTCGGACTGCCTCTGACTCGACTCTTGACTCGACTTGAACTACTGACTCCACTTGAACTACTAACCCCACTTAAACTATTGACTCCTTGCCTACTCCTGAGGCGTAGTATTTATTAAGTATGAAATAGTCCATTATTATTATTATTATAACAGTTTATAATCAAGGATTCTTGTATTCATGTATGATGTGTGTACCACTGTTTCAAAATTTGAATACTTATTAGTGATGAGATTTATCTGGTTCCAAAGACCAGTGTATCTGCATTATTTTTAATTTTATATGATTGTCATAAGTTTCCAATGATATGCATAATGCTAGATAAATCTTAGAGGTGTCATTGAAATTTACTCAGGTCATTATTAATTGTGCAACTTCTATATGTCTCTTCATGGCAATTATGGCTCTCCCCAAATTCCTATCACTTATATCTCTTAGCAGTGTTTGTTTTTTAATATCTCTTTTGCCATCTATATACACAAGATTACTTGTTGTTTTCCTCTGTTCCACATGCCTTCAATGTCCTCTGATTATAAAATGTTTCAAGCCTTCTTTTGTTATTATGTGTCTTAGGAATTCAAAATGTCGCTTTCTTATTCTAAGTATCATTTTTGTTTTCCATTTTCCTTAAAACTTCCTTGTTATTTGCATGCACCATCTATGGTATTCCCAACATCCTTCTGTAGAACCATATCTCTTTTGCTTCAAATGTCCTCATCTGTAAGGAAATTCTCCAACATTCACTGCTTTATAGGAAGATTGACATTACATAGCACTCTTCTTTGTTTCTAATGAAATTTTTCTGTTAATGTTTTGTTTAGCTTTTGGAAGCCATCTTTTTCCTATCCTGACGTGCCTTCAGATTTTGGTATCACAATTTCCATTCCACACTTTTCAGATATTTTAGAAAGTAAGGAATAAGGAATCAGTTGAAATGAGGCTGAACTTTTGAAAATAGATTACTTTCTCCTTAAATTCAATAAATTTATCTATTTTATGAAAGAAGTCTGGAATCAGAAATGCATCCCCAAAAAGTGGGGTTTATCAAGCATTAATACACTATGAAAAAGGTAGCCCTCTAAGACCATCACACATACAGAGCTATATGAATTGGATTCATCATATTGAAAATATTAATGAACATTATATTAACTAGGCTCTCATTGTTTTATGAAAGTTAATTCCTTATAATCTAATTTGGATATTGTTCTGGTAAGGGATGAAATATATATATATATATATATATATATATATATATATATATATAATGAAACAACTTCAAAAAATTGCTTAACTCTCTAACAGGAAACTGTAAACCTGCTTTGTGAACCACATCAGCATAGATTTCCACATGTCATCCATTTGGAACCATCTTTCAAGCTCCGAATCTACTGAATACATTGATATAATAGAGGAAATGTATTGATCTAAAGTGTCTTATATGGGATAAAGACATGGGCATTTTGCATAATTTAGAGGATAGTTTATACATCACACCCTGTATATAATGTTTATATAGTATGGTACTATATATATATATATATATATATATATATATATATATTGATAATATTAGTGGTAAATATACACATACATATGCAAAATATATAAATATATATACATAGATGCATACATATACATATATATTTTTTAAATAAAAAAATTCTAAGAGGATAGAATCCAGGTAGAACTCAATGTCCAGGACAGAGTAAGGATGTAATAAAAAGGCTAAAACACTAATATTCCATGGTCATAATTTATTCCATTGGAATTGTAAATATGATCCAATTCATCAGACCTACAAATTCAAAAAGTAAACAGAAAAAACAACTCCGGAAAATAAAAAATAAAATTTAGAGAGAGTGTATGTATGAGATTGTGGGACGAATGTTGGAGCTAAAGAGAGGGGTAACAGACGAGAGAAGGTGGGAGATTAAAACTGAACAGAGAGAAGTTTTAGAGAGGTGAGTTGAAGACGGTTTAAGTGAGAGAAATATGAATGTTGTCGGATGTCTAATACATTAAAGATGTAACCAGAAAGGATACATGTGGTGACATACACACACAATAGATGATCTAATCAGAAGAAGAGGGAGGAAAAGAAAAAGAAAAGGGGGGGGGGAGAGAGATGGGGCGGGGGAACTAAAATTGAAGGGCATTTATAAAAGGGCCGCTGTGTAATTAAGAAAATTTGACAAAATTAATATTGACTACAGGTTACAAATCAAATATAAACTTATAAAAATAAATATAACGATTATCTAATCTAGCTAGGACCTATATTTATATATATATATATATATATATATATATATATATATATATATATAAAAACTACTAGTAATACTCAATTGGAAAAACCTCGGATAGCTCAATTTGTAAGTCTATCAAAACAAATTGGTACCTGAGGAAAAAAATTGGAAAAAAAAGAAAGAACTAGAAACATCTGAACAGGGTGACATAAATCGTTCAGTGCCTTCAGTTTCTAGTCCAAAAGAAAAAAACCCAAGCGAGTAATAAAGCTCAATATGCTAAGTAGAGCAGGGATAAATGGAATAAATCATAGAGCCAGGAACAACCTACCTAGGCTTCACCTAAACGGATCTTCAGGGTAAGCTGGCTAAAGAGGAAATGGCATGAAACTGGTTTTATCAATTTATAAAAAATATTAATGCTATTTTTTATGTTTGTATTTATATGAAATTAAAGGATAGTTTTAATAAATGTTTTTCAAAACTGCCAATATTCAACTCTTATACTGAAGGCGAATCTTTTGCATGCTTAGCCATTGTGTTACCGATTTTTGTGGATAATTCCATGGACTTGACAAGCTTTGTTTTGGCAGTCTAAGTTGGCAATCCTGACATTGCAGCTCACTTTTGATCTAAAACTGCAGACTATCTAAACCGCGGATAGAAGTTTTGAACCCAACTACCGTGGTTTATTGGCACTGACCTGTATATATATATATATATATATATATATATATATATATATATAATTTTTTAAGCATTTCACATAAGCAAAGCGGGAATGCCACTAGTATGCAAGTGGATTCAGAGAGTGTCAATAAGAGAAAAGACTGGGTATAGGGAGTTTTGAGGAAAGGATAAAAAGAAGAACGGGGATGAAGGCAACAACAGGTGTTGATTGACATTACATTTAAAGTTTTGAAGATCATAGTTATCAGGGAAGCAAGTAAGAGGAAGGGAGTTCAACTGTTGGGAAGTGCGAGAGTAAAAGGGTGGGACCAAGATGCCACGCTTAAATTCATGCAGTTGGGGCACAGTGAACATAGCTCATCAGAGCAGATACCATGAAAAGATGGGGGAAGCAACATTACATCAACGAGAAAGTGACTGAAGTCGAGACCTTAAGTTAGGACCATTGCATATCCATTTTTGGATTTTGTTGAAAACCTTGAGATGAACAGCGGGATC